ACATGTTTAAGACTGATGCTTTGAGAGCATGTTTTACCCACACCACTTTGAAATGAATTTGAGAGAATGGAAGAACATAAAGATGTTGTTAAAGAACTTCCCATTCATTTCTATGGGACATGCACATAATTTAGCCCATTCGTTACATTTTTAAGAATTATCCCTGCTTTTACAAGTGCCTCATGCAATCGGTTCATGAATACCAAGACAAAGAAAGCTTTTAGGGAACCTTTGAAATCAATGTATGTTATAGCACTTTGAAAACTTAGTTGTTAATGTTTGTTGTGGAATAAGTCTTTAAAAACTGGGAGAAATATCTCCTATTCAAATCACAGAAATGTTACTAAAAGTGATCAGTTTGATACTAGATCTTTTGTTCAGGGCACCATGGTATGCGCTTTAGTAGGCTATTATAATTAAATTATCAGCCACAGCCATTTTTTCATTGTGAAGTCTCTGTCTAGTTCTCTGCCACAGCTTTTATGACCCATATTAAGAGATTAATTAAGGTACAGATCAATAACAGATGGAGTCATAGTATGTACAACTGAAAGTGTGTAACTATGTTCTGTTACAAAACAATGGTTAAAGGGACTTTTAAACTTGAAACTATTTCACTTATCCATTGATCAGTAGTAAGAAGAAATCTTGACAGAACAATTAAGAACAGCAACTATGTTTATATGAAATTCTTTTTATATATATAGTAAACAAGTATAATCCTGACTTGATAACAGGGGATGGGAATTTTCTCTCTCAAATTACATAAAATTTAAAATTAACCAAAGTTGCTCTGTTCCAGTTAGGATGGTCCTTGTCATTGTTCTTAGGTCTTAAATTATGCATTGGAGATAATCAGCTAGCCAATGGTTAAATGGTGAGATCAGAGTATCCTAAATGCCTCTATAGTTTGACATAAGTACTGTTTTACAATTTTTATATTTTCATGATAGTCCAGAAGGTGGTGCTGAAAGACTACTACTTTTCCCTTTAATAGTAATTGTGCAAATTTATATTGTTGTCACCTGTGTTCATTTGCACTGTCATATATCCACTTTGCTGATTACAAACATACATACATGCACACACAAGGGGGGAAGAGAGATTCTCCTCCTCCTCCTCCTCCACCACCACCACCACCACCACCACCACCACCACCACCACCAATATGTTCAGACCAGACAAGACCGTAACTCTGCCAGCATACCTGCTGGTAAGTCAGGATGAAACATGACATAGATCATTCAACATTTCTTTATTTCCACTCTTCCTTCCTAGCACATGTTCAGTCTCCCAAGTCCTTGGGGATAGATGCAATGAAGTATGACATAAGTAATTACATATTATTAAAACAGCATTTGCTACTAAGGGAGCAGTCTTCTCCTAACTCCAATTTAAGAAGTACATTTAAAAAAAAACAAATAAGAGCTATCTGTTTATTTAAATTTTCTATCACTGCAAATGGAAAATTATTTAACAGTAAAACATCCTAAAAAATAAGTCTGCATCCATTGCTCAGTTACTAGGATGTTAGATTATAACTGCTTATAAACTGGAGGAACTGGATATTTGAACAATCCCAAATTATCCTATTCCTGACATCCTGTTTGTCTTTTTATATTATAAATCCATGTTCTGAATTTTTTTAGCAAGCTTCTAGCAAAGCAAACTCTGAAAAAGAAAAGGGAATAATGGTTTGCTTGCTTGTTTGTTTCAAAAGCCCTCACTTGGAGTAATAAACAATAGGAAAGTTTAACAAAAGGTTCTTTAACAAGAAAAGCCAATATAGACCATCAAATAGTGAAGTGCTATTTCATTCTTTCAATAGAAATTCATAAATTAATATCTATTTACGTATAAATCTAGCAGAAAGAGAAACAGGATTTAATTCAGCCTTCCAAAATATAGATATTTTTTTTAAAAAAATGATCACATCTTTTTATATGAAGAAAGTTTTCAGCCATAAAACTATTTCTATTCAATTTAGAGTTTAATTTATTGATTTTAGAACTTTTATTTTGATTTATTTAGATCAAAATGTAAACATTGACATGTTCTTCCTGTTTTATCATAAATATTACAGTATAAGAATTATATCCTTTGTGAAGTTCGCTGTGCTCTATAGAACTCTAGGGCACCCAAATAAAATTTTACCAAGGAAATGACATCCCAAATTCCATTCAGTTGTGACATCTTCTTTTCCTGTATGTGTGAGTTATAAAAAGCATGCAAATTGTAATATCAAAAATCTTATATTTAAGAGGAAAAAATAAGCATGTTCAAATTTCTACTCATGGTTCCAAGCCAAAAATTGAAAAATAAGATTTTATTTTGCATGCTCTGTCAAAACAACAACAAAAAAACCCCAGCTGTAAAGGCCTTGTTTAAACTTGCTATTTAAGATCAGATCTGGGCTGGTGATAACTGTGAGCAGGACATCGTTGGCCTTGTGCAATGTGTAAGCACTAATTTACAACATGTTTTAAAGTTAGTTTATTTTCCATAATGCTTTTTGGTCTGGCATTCAGATGAGCATCATATGTTCTCAGGTACAAACAAGATGTAACTCTTTAAATAGTTTTCTCTTTGTATTTAGGACCGAAGCTATGCTGAATGAAGCTTGCTGCTGTCGGCTGTTATATTATTATGATTCATTTTAAGCTATCATTGCAGGTACAATTACATTTTCTAGAGCAGACAGAAATGTTTTCCTTTCCACAAAGACTGGAATGCTACTTGGTAAGATTCCTGTTAGATTCTATTGACTTTTTAATTATATAAATATTAAAGTATCAACAGCATGAACTGTATTTCTGAGAATCAGAGGAACTCAAGTGGGTAAATAAAAATGGGGAATGGTCCATGAATTGCAGACAGAATGGAAAACCTCCATTGGAATTGCTATCTCTTTTCAATTAGTGTAAAATAACTGAATATAAGTAATTAATGAATGTTGCAGACCCAGTTGGATATAGTGGTCAAGGCATCCAGTTAAGAAATTGGGAGATCAGGAGTTCTGGTTCTTCCTTAGGCATGAAGCCAGCTGAGGGACCTAGAACCAGTCCGTCTCTGTTAACCCTGGGAAAAAGAAAGCAATGGCAAATAACTTCTAAAATCATGCCAAGAAAATTGCAGGGACATGTTCAGGCAGTTGCAAGAAGTTAACACTAACTTGAAATCGCTATTAAAAAAAAAAATCAGTGTACACTCAATGCACATGTACAGCTCCCGTTGTTACTACATTGAAACAAATGCAGTTGTTTTTGGTCAATATCAAATGCTCCCACATTTGAAACAGGTTCCAGTAGATTGAACATTATTACATAGTAACAATCAATAAAAAAAATCAGAATCCAAGCACACTCAAGAAGATATTTGTTTTCCTTTTAAAAAATAAATAAATCCTGCCTTATTATTTTTATAAATAACTGCAGAAAAAAAAACATACCTAATACTTTTTCCTCCTCCTATTTTCCCTACAACAACTCTATGAAATGAGTTGGGCTGAGAGAGAGTGACTGGCCCAAAGTCACCCAGATGGCTTTGGTCTCCCAGTTTTTAACTTGGTACTTTAATCACTAAACTACAAGAAACATTTTTCAATTTGTGTACAAGGGTATTGCAAATGAACCTTTTATGTCTTTCTTGAGTGGTAATGTCCAAAATAGAAGGAACACAGCAGACATGAGAACAGCAACACTTAAACATAGGCAGATAGACAGACAGAAACTTAATTTTGGCCATTTACCAATAAAAATAAACTTTGTAGGGATTTGAAGTTGATTTTAAGCTTCACTTGTTACACAGACTTCAGTTTAAATCAGTCCCATGCATATCCCTATATAGTAGTTCATTTTGGTTTTGCACATGTATCACTGTATCACCCAGTCAAATCTATCCTGCCTTATCTTGGAACTTTTTAAAGTTTATATATAGATTTATACAAATGTCTAATTTTTAAATCATTTCAAAGTAATGCAACAGGTGCTCAAAATACAAATGCCAAGCATTTGGTGAAATTTACTCCTCTTGAGGTAATAAAGAAAAAGAGTATAATAGAATGTATTAAGACTCACCACAATATAATAAAAATTGAAAAAGACAAAATATGCCAATAAATAGTGATGTAATATATATTTTACTGTATTGTTGTAGAAGTAAAACCCATTTATATCCATTTGTTACTGTCTCTGGAGACTTATGTGGGATGATAATAGTTTATTGTTCTTCAAACAGACTTCCAGAGAAGCCAAATTTCCAAAATATTTACGTATTTTTCCAACAAATCACTGTATTTTAAATTGAGAAAGTAGTACCATTTAATGGATGAATAAAATAAAAGGAGCACCTCTATTTTTGAAAGATGTTATACACAGTACATTTCTTTGCTCATTAATGTGCTTCAAGATTTTTGTCTATTATGAAAATTAGGAAAAGTATAATGTTCTTCCTGATGTTTAAATAAATATAATAATATTTTAGAAAATATAAGAGCCCAATCCTATTTCAGCTTAAATCTTATGTACTTCTTAAGGACCTTAATCCCTTGCTTTTGTATCACAAGTCCATCATGACTCTCTATGTACATCAGTGATAGGCATTCCATAAACCATTGATCTTTGACTCCCAGACTGCACTGTCAAGATGGCTACGTTTTCGAGCCATATTTTTGAGCTATTTGGGAAAGGTTTATGGGGTTAAAGACTAGCCTGTCTCATAGAGGATTCCCCATTTTTTGGTTGTTTCAAAATAATTGAGAAGTGCATAACTCAGCACAGGGCCAATGTGTTTAAATATATTTAATTGTATACTACAGTTGGTCAAGGCAAGGCAGGCCTCTAAAGAGTTCATTATTTCTCTTAAACAATGTTCCAGCCAACAGCCCTCCAACTACTGGTAAGGTTCCACCCTCACACTACCCTGAAGGCAGACACCCTCAGTCCTCCCAAACAACAGCCCCTACAGTACCAAGAAAGCCCCCAGAGTAGGAGCACGCTCACAGAGCAAGGTCCAGGGTTCCAAGTCCAATCCACCAGGTAGGGTCCAGACACAAGACAAGGGCAGTCGAAACAGGTCCCAGAAAAGAAGTAGTTCCAAAGCCCCAGTGAAGCAAAGACCAAACGTAGGCCACCAGAGAAGGACGAGGTCCAAAACAAAATGAGAAGAACGACCTTCCAAATGAGGCAAGGCAAACAGCAACAGCCACGAGTAACATCCGGGGGAGTATAAGCCAAAGCAAATAATTGTTCCTGGCAAAGACTGATTCCCCATGGCTTTTCCTTAAGTTACTCCCCTCCAGGTGTTCCTTGTGAGGCGGGATGGGGTGGCCTCAGTGGGGATTCAGCTGGTTGCACCACTTCGGCAGAACCGGTAGCTAATTTTTTGTTGTCCAGGACCAGAGTGGACTTCCGGAAGGGGCATCCTACACTCCACTCTCCTTGCCCTTGGATCAAGTGGGGGAGGTAGCAGTTCCTCGTCAGAGAAGATTGGCTGCCTATCAGGACCACTGCTGGTCAGTAGCCGATCCTCCCCTGTGTCTGTGCAGGCAGGCAGCTCTCCGTCTGATTGACCACCTCCCCCAATGCCTGAGGGGCCCAGGACAGCATCGTCCTCAACCCCTGGTGTGCCTTCCCTGTCAGACAGTCCCAGCTCCAACACTTCCTCCTCCTCCTTTGAACCAACCTCTGAGGGGGCCATGACAACAGTCTACCTCCAACCTTTAATAAGTGCACTTTTGATTTTACTATAAATATATTAATCTTAAATGTAGCAATATTAACTACATTCATTAACTTCCAAAATGAAAACTGATTCAGGGCTGTACATAGTTGCTTTGCAGAGAATACATGGAATGACATCCTAACCATGTTCAGTATAATCAGGGCTTTTTTTCTCATAGAACGTCCAGAACGGAGTTCCGCACCTTTTTTGGATGGAACCTTGTAGGGTAGGCAAGGCGGGTTGTATGACATGTGTGAGTTCCGGCACCTTTTTTTTTTTTTAGGAAAAAAAGCACTGAGTATAATAATGGTACAATGCATTGATTGGAAAGTCAACCCTAATCTGACAGTAGCGCTATACCCATTGCTTTTTAGTTTTTGTATCAAGTTGTGATATGTCATTACTGAATTATAAAGAGAGTTGAGAATTTATCTATAAATATTCATATTTGGTTTTGTATATCCTCTTACATTTGATCAAATTTTCTTGAATCTGCTTTAAAGATTGAATTCACATGTTAGAAACATAACCCATTCAATGTAATGCATTATTTCTGAACAATCCTATAGGTAACAAATGAAAAATTTCTCACAAGTATTTCTGGGCTGTTGAATACATAATACTGTTTCTTATGACAGAGCAAGAGTTTACTCTTCATGTATATTGTAATTCTGCAATATTACAGAAAAAGCAAGAAACATTTTATGTATGTACAGTATATAGACATTTATGTATGTATTATAAATGTATAGGCTGCCCATCTTACCTCAAGGTAACTCTTTTATTGGGTACAGAAATGAACATGCTTAAAATTTCTCTAATAATCATACCTTTTCAGCCTTTCTGAAACCAACATAAAATTAAGCAAATAAGCAAACACACCATATAAGCAAATGTGATTAATTTACATAATTTGTGCAATTGTTCAAATCCCCTGGCCCAGAATTTAATGAGGTGAGTAATGAGGGGCAGGGCACACATTCTTGTTGATTCATTTTCATTTTTTTCCATAAAGTTCTGGTAATGTTCACTGCCTGAAATCCAGGACTGCAAGCATCACTCAATGGATGCTTGTTCTAAATCCCTCCTTCCTACTAGAGAACATGGACGAATATAAATAGAACATAGAATTGCAGACCCTGATAAAATAGAGGCCCAAATCACAGGAGTTCTGAATTTATACTAGGCCATACCATCTGTCTTCAAAAGTGGCTGAATCTGCCTGACTTTTGAGTAGTTGGAAAGGTCAGAGATAGGGCTGGTTAATATTTTGATGGGTTTTCTTCCAAGAATATAAGTGCTTTATCCAATATCAGATAAAATCCTAAAAGTAACTTTTTACAACTATACTCATGATATAACACTTCTTTGTTCTCTCAAATATAGCATTGTAGTACTGCTTCCATTACCTAATTGATTCACCCTAACTATCTCATTCAACACATGATTTGCTGTTACATCAAATCAAAATATGCTGGTGCAACCAGTTCCTAATGTTACTATATCTGATATTTGTATACTTTAATTTGCTTATGTAGAGGAGTTGGAGCCCCATTCTCTTTAGGTTAACTTTGGCTGCTTCCAGGACCATAATATACTATCTTTGCTTCAATAAAATTGTGTACCAATCTCTGGTTTAAAGGAACTCTTGGGTAGGGTTGCCAGGTGTCCACTATTTGAGCGGACAGTCCACTTTTTTCACATTATGTTCACTATTTTTTTTCACAAAATAGTGGACATTTTTTTTATTCAAAAGCTTTATGATGAAATGGTACGTAATCTAAAGCTGTACAGTCTACTTTTTTTACTACTTAAC